ATGCAGGCAAAATATTCACACGTTAAAAATAAATATAATCTTTATAAAAGGTTCATAAAGCAGGAATAAATTCAAATGTCTTATAAAGCATGTGATTAGCAAATGAGAGGTTCTGGGATCCATCCCCTGTACCACATTAAAAAATATTTACATATATGATTCCCACAGCATATTCCTGACCTATATCTTGATCTAGTAAACGAGAAAACCATTATTATAAAACTCTTACCAGATTTTTAAATTATTAATTAAAAAAAGATAGGTGCTTGGAGACAGGCAGTGGTGGCACACACATTTGATCCCAGCACTTGGGAGGCAGAGGCAGTGGATTTCTGTGTTTGAGGCCAGCCTGGGCTACAGAGTAAGTTCCAGGACAGCCAAGACTACACAAAGAAATGATGCCTCAAAAACCAAATAAATAAGCAAATATTTTTAATTTAAAAACAAATAAATGAGTAAGTGTTATGTATTTGGGTGTTTTGCTGTATGTACGCCTGTGCAGCATGTGTACATCTGGTGCCATCAGAGGCCAGAAGAGGGTGTAACTTTACTCCTAGGGATGCCCTAGGAGTAAAGTTACAGATAGTTTGTGAGCTGTCACATGGGACTCAAATCAGTCCTCTGCGAGAGTAACCAGGTGCACGCCTTTAATCCCAGCACTCGAGAGGCAGAGGCAGGCAGATCTCTGTGAGTTCGAGGCCAGGCTGATCTACAAAGCTACACAGAAAAACCCTGTCTCAAAAAAAAAAAAAAAAAAAAAAAAACCAAAAAGAAAAGAAATTACTTTATTAGAGCCAGGTAGTGGTGTCACAGACCTTAATCTCAGCACTCAAGAGGCAAAGGTAGGTAGATTTCTGAGTTCAAGGATAGGCTGGTCTACAGAGCACAGCCGAAGCTGTTACAAAGAAAAACCTGCTTCAAACTCCAACCCCGCTCCCCCAAAAAAAGAAAAAGTAAAAAACTATGTTTGTTTTACCTCATCAAGATCTTTTGTCTCTCTTCCCAATTCATCATCATCTTCATCAGAATCAAGCTCTGGTCCAATATAATTCCCAAATTCATCATACAAGTCAGTATCCATGATGCTAAAATTCAAGAAGAGAAGAGTCAGATCTGCAAGTTGTGAAAGCCTGTGTCACCCCCTGTCTCCTTACAGACCATCCCTTCGGGAGTTGACTTGTGACTAACCAATCTACTGACAAAGCTTCCCAGAGCCCAGCACTTTCTCCACTTCTCTGCCCTACTCACACGCTCCACCCTCTGAACTTGATTTACTTAGGGACAGGGCCTCTTGTTGCCCACACTGGTCTTGAACTCCTGATCCTACTGTGTTAGCCTCCTAAGTGCTAGGATAACAAACTTATGCCCCATTCCTGGCTTTGTTTTATTTATTTAAAATTTTTTACTTATTTTTATTTTCTGTGTATAGGTGTTTTATCTGCTGGATGTCTGTGTACCACATTCCTAGACATGATGCCCACAGAAACCAGAAGAGGAAGTCAGATCCCCTGAATCTGAAATTATAGACTGGGTGTAAGCTAACATGTGGATAGTGAGAATCAAACCTGGGTCCTTTGAAAGGGCAGCCAGTACTCTTAACCACTGAGCCATCTCTCTACTTCCACCTGGCTTTCTTTTTAATTTTAACGGCAGGCTCTCACTGTTACCCAAGTTTGCCTTGAATTCATCTAAATCCTTCTCCTTCTGCCTTCCAAACTCACATAACAGGTATACAACTCTATCCCTGGCCCCGTCTAAATTTATTTAATGGATTAAATTTATTTATGGGTGTGTGCATGTCTGTGTGTGTCTAGGCATGAGAGTATGCACATATATCAAAGACAGCATTGGATCCTTTGGGGAACACAAGGATTGTCACATGGTACTAAGATCTGACCTCTAGTCTTCCTGACTGCCTAGCAAGTGCTCTTAACTGTTGAGCCTTTCTCCAGCCTCTCATTTCCTTTTTTAATGCTAACATTCTCAAAATATCACAATACAATCACCAAAACCAGAAAACTAATTCTGGCAGGTTATTCTACTTAATACACAGGCCCCACCAAGTTTGACAAACTTTCAAAATGAACTGCTCAGCCAAGGATGCAAACCAGGATCATATGCTTGCACTGAGGCAGCCTTATTCTTTTAATCTGCAACAGTTTTTTAGTCTTGATTTTTATGACTGAACATTTTTGGAAATTACGAACCCATGATTGTGTAGAATGTCCCTTTATGTGCATTTGCCTGCCTATTACACTCAGGTTACCCATCCAGAACAAAGACATCACAAAGGGATGCCATGATCTTTTTTGATATACAATTCCAACTCATTCTTACTGGTGCTAACTTTGATCCCTCAATTAAGGTGGCAGCTGACAGGCTTTTCATTATAAAATTCTCATGGTCCCTTGAAATGAATAAAAACTGTGGATCTTTTTTCTCACTTCAATTTCTGAAATGCTGTTCAAAAGAACAGCTTAAATCTCACTCCCTTCAAGTTTTCCTAGACTTTCAATGTCTCATTTCTCCATAACACTATAACCTTTTGCACTTTCATCAGTATTTTCTGCCCCAAATGCTATTTAACCATTACTCTCACCAACAACTCTACAGTTTACAAGCAACAAAAACTAGAGCATGGGAAAGCACTGGGGCCTCAGGGGTTAAAGACCTTGATTCATACCTTAACCTCATCTCTAACAACTGTGGGACTCAGAGAACTTACTTTACCTCTCTATGTATTTCTTCGAGTAGAAAAATTGAGTGAATAATCAAAGCATAAAACCTTTTAAAGGCACCAAGGTGATGGCTCAGTGGGTAAAAGCCTTTGCTATGAAACCTGAGTTCAGTCCCAAAAACCCACAAAAAAGCCAGATGCAGTTGCACAAGTGTCCATAATCCTAGAAGGCCAACAGGAAATGGGAAGCAGAGGGATTCTTCTGCCACTCAGCTAGCCTGGTGTTGACAGTGACAGGAGACCCTATCTCAAAAGAGGTCAAAAGATGAAGACCAAATCCCTAAGGCTGGCCTCTCACCTCCGCTTACATGCTACAGCACACCTGCACCCTCACTCACTACACAAAAACATGCACTGAAACACACACACACACACACACACACACACACACACACACACAGTATGATTAGCTGGGCATGAACCCTCACACCTGTAATCCTACATAGTGAGCTAGAGGCCACCCTGAGTTATGAGAGACCCTGTCTCAAAAAATAACAATAGCTGAATAGTGATGGTGGTGCACAACTTCAATTCCAGCACTTGGGAGGCAAAGGCAGATGGATCTCTGAATTCTGAGTTCAAGGCCAACCTGGTCTACAGACCAAGTTCCAGAATGATCAAGGCCACACAAGAAACCCTGTCTTGAAAAACCAAACCAAACCCAAACAAACAAGAAATACATCAGTGTTGGCCAGCATAAAATGTGGCCATCCCTGAGCTCATTTGTGCCCACCCTGCTAGTACCCCAGGCAGCCCCTGCACAAACAGTAACAATAATGTTAACTGAGTAGAATGTTCAGGTTTGAAATCCTGCTATTTCTTGTAGTCGACTGAACACCTTAAAGAGATATGCTGAGTACTGACTGTAAATAAAATACAAAATTAGAGTGCTAATCATTGGTAATTAAATGTAAATCGTTATGAAAACTGATTATATGCATTGCTCACTTCTACGAAGCTACCACACTTACGATCATTTCATTCTCCCAAGACTCCCATCAAGTGATGGCACAAACTTTTTTACAGAAAGTTGCCTATTGAACAAGCCACACGCATTTCTGCCCCAGGATCATGGTACTTGTCACTTTGGCTATTTATACCTTATTAACACATTTAACTCAAGTTTCTCTTTTAATATCACCTATTTGTCACCATTCCCCCATATACACCTGCCAAGCCCCCCTTACACTGATCTGTGTGTTAAGGTGCTTAGGATCAAATCCTGGGCCTTACAGCCTACCAAACACTCAACCACTTAGTTATATCCCCAGACAAAAAACAAAGCCTTTGCCTGAATAATTCTTGGGGAATTGGTGTGTAATTTGTTACTGATACGTGTTAATAGAATCGAAGCAAAAAAAAAAAAAAAATAGTGCATAGCACAAGACAGTCCTTCAATAGGCCCTCAACAAGTTTTGTTGGGGTTTTTTGGAGGGCGGTGAATTAATGACAAATTTTAGTTAAGCAAAGCTAGTTTCTAAATACTAACCCTGCATCTTCCTGCTACCACGCAGATTCTCAAAAAGCCCAAGCTTTTTGAACCATATTTACGGCTAAGCCTAGGCTGGCCTTGAACGTGCAGCAATCTTCCTGCCTCGATCTCCAGAGCGGGAGAAACAGGCATTAGCCATCACAGTCGGCTAGGGTGCCGAATATTTTGAAGCTAGAGAAAGCATGGAGGTGAAGGAGGCACCCATGGAAAGGGGGAGTGGCAGGGGTCTGGGTCAGAACGCCACCTCTACTTAGGGACAAGATTTTAACCATTCAGGGTGTCGAGGGAACCCCGGAATCATCGGTGTGTGCGTGTGTTGGGGGGGGGGAGTCTTTCATTCCCTTTCCCACACCAGGCTTCAACTTAGCCCTGTGTGAAGCGAAAGGGATAAATACTATATAAATCGCCTTTTCCCAAGCGCATGATCTCTCGCGTCCCAACCTCCCAGCGCACCCTTCCGGGGCCAGCTCACCCGCCGCCTGCTCAACCGAGCGCTCCTGGTCCGCAGCCTGAGCCCGCGCTTCCGCCGCACGCTGCGACAACGCCGGCGCCCGGCGCCAGGAAGGACCCCGAGCGCGTCGCCCGCCCGCTTCGTCTCGGAGGACACCCTCTGCCTGAAGAACAGCCTCGAGGAATGCTGGCCTCAGAGACAGAAACTGGAAAGACCACCTTGTCGATCCTCAAAACAAAGCGTGAATTGCTCCAAAGAAAAGCAAGGCCGAAGGATTCACGAATCTAATCAGGCGCCTTGGGACACCCTGAAAGGGAGGGCCTTCGGGCGAGCCACGTGGGCAGGCTAGTGGAGCCGTTGCTAGGCGACAACCGCTTTTGGGAGGGCGACACACAGGTGTTCTAACTGATCGGGGATTTTACCCCGGAGAAAGCAAGGGGTCCAAAACTGGGGCTGCTGGGTGAGGGTCTAGGGACAGAGTAGAGGGAGTTGTTTTAGTCATTCAATGATTGGGGAAGGATTAGAACTTGTCCGGGAGGTGGGCGGGTGGTGGGAGTCTCCGCTGCTCCCGAGGCTGAGCCTGGAGGAAAGATCGATCATGAGCCCAGGTGTTTTGGAGAGGACAACCTGGACTACATAGCGAGACACCTCCCCCGAAAAAAAAATGAATGGATACGATGTGAGACACTTGAGTCCAATTGCTGGCTTGCTAACACAGCCCACTTGGCATTCCACTTTCCCTCGTTGGGGTAGGGGATGGTGGTGAAGTTGCTTGTGGACCAGCACATTTCCTGCCCTAGGGCTGATCATGAGTGAACTACGAAATCTTGCTCTGGCTCACCAGGATTCTGAGGTAGAGCGGGTCTCTTAAGTAAATGTCAGAGCTCAGACGGGAACACACATACCGGGAGGCTCAGAACTTCCGTGGTAGGACGGGATATAATGCCCACACACCACACAACCTGTGCCTGCCGCCCTCTGTTGGTCAGGGATTTGGGGATGTAGATCATTTTTCCCTTCTGCCACTTTTCCTGCTTGGTCATTGATTTTGGTTTAGGTGAAAATATTTTTTACTCCATTTAAAATAGCGAAGTGTGAAACTTTGTCCTTGAACTCAAGAGTAACTTATAATAAGAGTTCTGCTGTGTGTGTGTGTGTGTGTGTGTGTACGCGCTCCTTTGTGGCAACAAGGTGCCATAGAGAAATCCTATATGAAAGAATGAAGTTTCAGAATTCTGAGATCTAAATGCTTTCTCAGCTGAAATGCCCAGATTACTTGCTTTGTGACCACGCTGAACATCAAACCCAAGGGTCTTGTACTCGCTAGGCAAACTTCTTCCACTGCTGTGCTAGCCCTTAGCATCTAAAATAGTGTTAGAAGCAGAGAACAAAATTAAGACTTCAGACTGGAAGCTTTCTGATCTGTTTTCTGTGAGAAGCCTTGAATGTGCCTTCACCGTGCAATTCCATTTGATCTTTAAAGGAGGAAACTAGACTTCTGTAGCATTCCAGGATATGTATCAGATTGCTTTGGGTTGTTTCGCGTCCTGGAAAAGAATCCCAAGGCATCATCTTTACCCTGATGCTGAACCTCTGCTGATATGCATTCTTCTTGCCTTCCCAGGCCTTGCCATGGAAAAGAATGATGCAATCAACTTCAAGGCTTTGGAGAAAGAGCTGCAGGCTGCACTTGCTGCTGATGAGAAGTACAAAAGGGAGAATGCTGCCAAGTTACGGGCAGTTGAACAAAGAGTGCCTTCCTATGAGGAGTTCAGGTTGGCTTGCAGCTGTTTTCAACAGGCTCTTCTGTCCTGGTGGGCTTCAGAAGTCCAAAGCACAGTGTCTAGCCCATTTGAAGTCTTCCGTACTTTTAGCAATCTATGCTACTGTAGTAGTAGTAGTTACCCTATTTCCTGTAAGTAAGCCCAGCCAAATAGCTGCCCTACATTTAGAGAAACATTGTTTCAATCTCTGTCTTTGACCCAGAGGTATTGTCCTTGCATCACACCTGAAACCTCTGGAACAGAAAGACAAGATGGGAGGAAAAAGAATTGTGCCCTGGAACAGTCACACTACTAGGGAAAGGACTTTTCAGGAGGTAGACACTGAAATACTCCAGGTAGGTGCCAGCCAGCCTCTTCGACCCAGCAGGATTTCTCTGTGCTAAAGCTATGACTCTGTCTTTTTACAACACATACCACTTCCTTATGTCTCATGGAAGCCAACAGAAAGAGATTTTTTTTTTCTGAATCTCAGAACAGCAATCAGATGATGGGACTGAGTTGAATTGGGCTCGGCAATCCTCTAATATTCCTTCTCAGGTGGGTGGTAAATAGTATTGTGAGTCTGTGGTGGTATGGGGGAGGGCAGCCTGTCAGACCCTTTACACTGACTTTGAGTTCCTTCTTCTCTGCCAGAGATTTACAGTAAACTCCCTCTCTTTTATCAGGGCAAGCTCTGACTTACTCTAAAAGGCCAAGAGCAATGTTTCCTTCCTCAGGAGGAAAACCTCAGTACAAAGGAGACCTCCAAATCATAGCCTGGATTCCTTGGGAGGGTTTGGGCCCCCCCTCCCTCCTGCATCCCCAGTTCCCTCATCTGAAAATGGGGCCACAGAGACCAGCCTTCCCAGAGCTCAGAGGGCAATTACAATGCTAAGATGAAAACTCATAACGTCCCTCCCCATCACAGATGCAGAGTGGCAAGATGAGCTCTGGACCTGTTCCATTTTGTTATGCAGGAGAAATCACCCTTCCAGCCTGCAACCTCTGCAGAGTTTTACCGGGATTGGCGGAGGCACTTAAGAAGTGGGTCAGAGCGCTACCAAGCCCTGCTTCAACTTGGGGGCCCCAAGCTGGGCCACCTCTTCCAGATGGATGTGGGCTTTGGACTTCTTGGGGAGCTACTGGTGGCACTGGCTGAGCATGTGAAGCTAAGTGACCGGGAGGCAGTACTAGGGATTCTGCACAGCTTGGCTAACACTGGGCGATTCACCTTGAACCTGAGCCTGCTGAGCCGTGCAGAGCAAGAGAGCTGCCAGCTCTTGTTTCAGAAGTTGCAGGCTATGGGCACCACCAGACCCATGCAGGGGGTGCTCAGCATGGAGGAGCCATCTGCTGGGCTACAGGGAGAAGAGGGGCTCCTGCAGGAGCTGTTAGGTCTGTATGGAGTCCACTGATAGGACTGGCTGCCCTCAGCATTCCCAAGTGATCCCAGAAAACATTTTTAAAGACTTGTTTTATGTGTATAAGTGTTTTGCCTACATGTATGTATATCCACCATATGTGCGCCCAGTGCCTGAGGAGGCCAGAGGATGTGGGAGTCTCGGGAAGTATATTTACAGATGGTTATAAGCTTCCATATGAGTCCATATGAGTGCTGGAATCAAACCAACCCCAGGTCTCTGGAAGAGCAACCAGTTCTCTTAAGCACTGAGCCCCCTTGGAACGCATTCTGTGGTGGTCATCTTGGGGTTTCTGCAGAAGTATTGAAAGAACTGTTGTGAGCAACCCACACCCATTTCCCTTTTCATGTGGGCTTGCCCACCTCTCCAGCCCATAATGTCATCTCTGTGGATGCCCAGGGTAGCCAAGGGCCCAGCTGCTTGAGAGTGTTTTGCTACCTGCCTTTCAGAGTTTGCCACGTCTGTAGCCTTGAGAGGCCGGCATGTTTACACTAAATTGTGACCACACAGAGCTTCCTCCTGTGTGTGTGTGTGTTGTGGGGGGGGGAAGCACTGATCATAATTCTTAACCAGAATATTTATAACCCAAAGCCAGTGAATGAACAGCCAGTCAATAATAAAGAGAGGTCCTTGGTTCGAGATGCAGAATGTCCCCCCCCCCCAGAGACCTAGTTCTTTCATAGGTTGAGCCTGGGAAATCCCCAGTCCATCAGCTTAGGTCTGGCCAGCATCCTGAATGATCAGCTGTGCAAGAGAGGCTTCTGTTATCTCTCAGATTGATAAAAGGATATTCTCCTGGGCAGGCAGGGCTAAGTGCATTTACAGCTCATTCTAGTGTCCCTTGACCCATTCTCTTAGTTGAGTGCCAGTATTCTAGAAAGGTGAAAGAGTGCTAGGTTCTAGAATGATCCCACCCCCGAGATTGGTCCTGGTGTGTTAGAACATCATCTTGTACATCAGCTGGGAATAAATTGCCTTTCATCTGGCTGACTCCTCTGCAGTTTCTGACTTCTTTTTCTGATTGTTTGACCCTTTCTTTATGTAACAGCCTCCTCTCAGTATGATTTCTAAAAAGCCATAGGTTTTTCGCGCCTTGGGTTCTGCCCTGACTCCTTGAGACCCTCCTTCCTACAAGCATGAGGCTGGCCAACACCATTGTGCTCCTGTGGGCCTGGGGTAGTCTCCAAGCCTTTGAAATCGTGGAGAAGGAGGACATTTTTCAGAAGACGCCCTGCCCGGCCTTCCTGATGTTTGATAATGCTGCCTATCTGGCTGACATGAGCTTTGAGCTTCCCTGCCACTGCAAACCCGAGGATGTTTCAGCTGTGGTCTGGTATTACCAAAAGCACCTGGGAAGCAGCCACACTGTAGTGCTTACAGACTTCGATGGGCGGTTGCTCACAGAGGCGGCCCATGTTCGAGTAGGCAGCAGCATGCTGGTTCGCTTCAGCATCCGTATGTTCAGCCTGTTGGTTTTCCGGGCCCAGCCAGAAGACTCAGGTCTATATTTTTGTGGCACCCGTAATGGGAACTATTTTTATGCCTATGATGTGGACATCCAAAGCAATGAGGGAATGGTAGCCACCTTCAAGGACAGGGGCCAAGAGCCATTGCCAGACGAATACTATGGAAGCCTCCATGTCTTTACTACCTTCTGGGAGTGGACCCCCTGTGACCGTTGTGGGGTGCATGGGGAACAATGGCGCCTTGGACTCTGCTACCTGCAAAACCCTGGCCTCTCCCCTCGGTACCTTAAGACACTGCCTGATGTAGTGTCTTGCGGCTCTCGGGCTGTGCCAAGAAAACTGTGGATCAAGACCAGGTACCATACACCTGAGCTGCTGATTCAGGGCTGCCTAGTGTCCTGTGAGAAGAGGAATCGGATCCAGAAGGGTGTGCTGACAATCTACAACTATGTGTCCAAAGTGGGCAGCCGGCCCTGGCTGCCTCAGGTGCCCATTCAATTCCATCAGCAGAGACTAGGCCATGGCCTCATCATCTCTTGTCCAGGGGCCCGGCCAGAGCATGCTGTGGCCTGGGACAAAGACCATCAGCCCCTCTACCGCACACAATACCTAAAAGGCGTCAACAGGTCCATGAGAGTGTTCATCGACCATGGCAACCATCTCCACATCCGCTTTACCCAGTTGAGTGACCGGGGCATTTATTACTGCTGGCGGCAAGGGTTGAGAATCGCTGGCTTCAGGTTGGGAGTGACATCTCGAGGACGCTACCCAGCCTCACTTTCAGACCCTGAGACTCGCACCGCTGTGGAACTCGCCCTGATAGGCTATCTGCTCATCACAGCGGTCTTTGTCACCATTCACCTCTGTCGCTGCTGTTGCTACTCATTTCGCTGTTGTCCCAACTTCTCCACCCATACCCTTCTCCAGCTGTGAAAAGCAGTTATGGTTAATATGTTTGTTAAACGATATCAGATGCTTCTGGATGGGCACCTTGGGCTGGGACACATGACAAGGTGACGTACAAGTCTTTTATGTACAACTTGCTTCCCTGTTTCATGGAAGGGGCCTGGGTCTAATCTGGAAAGTGGAGAAGCCTGAGGGAGGTCAGAGGTCAGAGACTGAAGTCAGGAGGAGAATGGACAGGTACGTGAGTCTTCTCACTTGATGCTCAGGTTGTAGGAGGAAGTAAACTGACACCCATCAGGTCACCCATCAGCGTTGTTGGCACTGAGGGTGCTCTGCCCTTGAGGACTACTCCTGGGCCCCAGTAGAACTGGATGGGGTGGGATGGAGAAGAAAGGAAAACTGAGGCACAGCTGAGTCTTTCTCTGCTTCCAATTGTCCTGGGAATAGCAGAGCAGCGGGTGGGAAGACGAAGGTTATGATGGGGCCAGAAATGGGTGCGGAAAATGGAGAGCCAACACAAGACTTTCTAGAATGGTGGTACCCAGGCTAGGGAGTGGGGATGAGAAGAGGTCTGGAGCAAAGGCCATGGCACCAGGGCTCTGTAGGAGGTGGGATTTGATAGGGGGCTGCTGCAATGGAGTGAGGATCCCAAGACTATCTGTAATAATGAGCAAGTTGACTCCTCTCACGGTCCTCCCCAGCTTCTGAACAAATCAGACCCACTCTGTAGAAGGCTAGCTATGATGTCTTTATTTCTTCTTAGTAAAGGTCACAGCAGAGGTTGGTTAGCAGAGGCAGCAAGGAGTGGAAGGAGAGGGTACAGTATCCTAGGAAGAGGATGGGGCCCCACTTTCTTTTTTGACCTTAGAGGGGAGGAAAGAACAATGGAGTTGCTCTGGTGTGGAAGGGTAGTCCCAAGTTGCCTCTAAGCAGCTGGAACACAAGCCGGTCTGCCAGGCTCATGCCTCAGTTTCCCAAATTGTTAAATAGGATGATGCCTAAAATATAGGTAATATTAGGACTATGCATAGGAAAGGACCCAGGCCCCTTGCTTGAATAACAACAGCTAGTAATTATGGGATGGAAAGCCTCAAAAGGATGGTTGTGGTTTCATCAGGATTGCGAAGCAGCAGTCACGGGCAGAGAACTGAGTGGATGGGGACTATGCAGCCAGGAATAGACCTTGACAACTGAGACACAGCTGGACACAGCTGTACCCTGCCCAATGGACAGAAGTCCCTTTTTCCTGCTTCAGTGTCTTTAGGAGAATGAGTCATTTCCTTGATTCCCAGGACTCAGAGCCAAGTGTAACTGGTTGCCTACAACTTCCAACTCCAATGTCCAAATCATCTGTGCGGGTGCTCCTCGAGCCCGAGTAGGGGAGCCTTCCAGGGCTTGACCTCTGCATCTATACTTAGGGGCCAGGCACCCCACCTTTATTCCCACCCAGTACTACCTCCTTCTCCACTTATACTATAGATCCCCCCAAGCGCTAAGACCAAGTTTCCACGCGCTCACAGGCTGCCGAGCTCAGTAGGGCCGAGACACGAGTCATCATTCTGGAGGGCTCTTAGGTCTACCTTAGTGGCCATTCCAGGTAGTATGTCTGCCCCACCCACTCCTAGATCAGTCAGGGCTATTCCTGAAACCTAAGTCTTTGGCTAGAACTACTTTGCCTTGGGACCTCCCCTTTCTGCCTGACTTTCTGTTTTCCTCCAGCAGCCTGTGGAAACTCCAAGTCCAATTCCCAGAGACCACCAGCTCTGGCAACTGTTTCCATAACAACAAGGATAAAGGAAATGATTTGTTAAGGCTCCCTGCTCTGCCCAACTTTCCTCTTTCCAATTCTAACCCAGCTGCTGGCCCCTCCCCTCCTGACTGCCCCTTTGGGGTGAGTATCCTGTTAGTTGGAGGTTCAGGGCATGTACCATCTGTCAGGCTCAGTAAGAACTGAGCCCCAGGCAGCAGACAGGCATAAAAACAGAGGGAAGGGGAATAGTGGTGTGGATGGGAACAGGACTATCTGAGGAGGAGTTCTGGGCCCTTCACACTGTATGGCAGGAGCCACCAGGTGGACACACCTCACATCACATCCTTGTGTTCCTGCTTGGATTCCTTAATGACCTGCAAGGGACAGGGAAGGTGCACAGTGCACAGTTAGGGGCTGACACAGCTCCCAGACCCACCGTGCTAGGCTATGCATCCTGAGGCGAGTCCCCAATTGTCCTGAATCTGTCTTCCCTTGACTGACATTGTAATTACATCATGCTGAGGTCCAATTAGGGTGAGAAATGCCACTTGTAAAGCATCTAACACCATTCCTGACACTACAGCACAAGAGTAGCTATCTCTGCTGCCACCCCAACATGCAGAGAAGGCCATGCATGCTGAATCTACCTCCTAGTCCCACTCTTCTCCAGAAAGTTCCGGTAAGATTTGAAGGCCTTTTCTTTCCCTAACTGTCCCAGTCGGAGTTGAACCATCAGGTGGCCTTGGTACCCAAACTGCCTTTAACACCCCACCTGAGGAGGCATTCAAGGTCAGTCCCTTTTTCCAAAGCTCCATTGGGAGCTTCCCCCCCCCCCAGTTCATTAATAAGGGCTTTCCATGAGCTAGTCCCTGGCTTTCTGCAGTCTAGCTTCAAGAACACCTGGGGCAATCAGAACCTTTCCTCACCTCACCATCCCGCATCTCCACTGTCTTTACCACGATGTTCCTCTTGAGGTGTCCTTCTGATACAGACTTGGTGTCCAAGCTGGTTTCTGCAGGTGCGAGGAGAGGAGGCCTCCATGGGCTCTTGGGATACTAAGCAGCCTGACCTGTGCGCATCTTCCCCATCATGCCCCCAGGGTCACGAATGCAGGGCTATCTAACTAGGCAGGGAGAGCCTTGGTTTGTTCAAAGTGGCTGGAGACTCCCATCTGCCCCCCAGCATAGACACATTGCTGGCCTGTAGCTTTCTTGACCTTCTGTTTTGGCACCTGGATTCCTGACAACCAAGGGCTGCAACGACGTAGAACAAACAGTGCTCTAACAAAAAGTGCTCTCGGTGCCTACTTCTCTAGGAGATGGCGACGGGGCAACTAACTAACGTATGTTAACATGTGGCACAAATTAGTGATTAATATGTGTGGGACCCTCCCGTACCCCTGCTTTCTCCTGTCACTTCTCTGACTCTAGTGACCCTTGACTGTCTAGCATTTGGCACTATTACCTCTACCTGATCAGCACGATTAACTTTCTAATGCTGAATTACATCTTGAAATATGTACGGCCAATATTCCAACATGGAATCCCCCCCCCCCCCGGTATCTAAGAATCATTTAAGGGCCACATACCAGTAAAAAGTAATTTGGTCCACCACCCTTAGAGAGAAAATTAGAACATGTCACACTCACTAATATTTAAAATGAAGAGCAGGGAACATAAAGCTTTATTCACTATAAGAGCATCAGTCCAGAGGGAGCTAACCCTCTGGACTGAGTCAGCATGAGTGAAACAACAGAGCCTTGGGGACCCATGAATCAAACACAGAGCTGGCCCAGAGGCACTGCAAGACCCAAGGGGACCTCCTAGTGACAGAAAAGAGGCGAGGCAGAGGCTGGCATTTGTTCAGCAGGAACATCTGCTCCCCGGGACAAGCCCCCTTTAACATAGGCTAGCTCTGTAAGTATAACCTAATTACACAGAGCCAGGACCTGGGCTGGGGACTGAAGCTTCTGGGAAAAGGTCCCAGAGGAGGCCTGGGAGGGAGGAGGCCAAGAGGACTGGGGAAATAGGCATGGTGATGCTCACTCCCTGCCAAGCTGGGGAAATGCACCACTGAAACGCAGGCATCTATCTAACCGAGAGCTGGCGGGGCTCCATTTACAATCTGGTGAGCCTGTATTGGAATAACTTGTACTGTGAGCCTTTTGAGATGCCTTGTGACTTTGTAGCCTTCCCCTTCTTTGGTGCTTTTGCCCCCTGTAGTGACAAGCAATTCAAAACAAAACAAAACAAAAAAACAAAATGTAAAACATTGAGAAGGGCAGTGCTTGTTCATGGCTAGTAGGCCTGGCATCAGTGAGACCTCACTGGTTCTGCAGGGGTACAGTTAGGGGATGGGGACACAGGACACAGTGAGGCAAGCCCTAGGATGCTGTGCTCCGCCCAGAATCAGTGGAGAGTCATAAAGGCTTCCAAGGAGAACTTGGGTCCCTTTGCCCCCAGGCCCCAAGAGCAGTCCACAGGCATGAGGGAGGAGGTGGGAAATCAATACCCTTTCCCACAAGGCCACACTATACTGACCTCGAATCTGCAGGTTGGAGAAAGTTTGTACAGGGATGGTGATGCTGAAAGACAGTGAGGGATGGGGATGTTGAGGCTACCCTAGAAGATTCCCATGTCACAGCATTAAAATTTCAACATCCTTTGCCAGGCCAGCCTGACTCCTACTGCCCCCCCTCAGCTCTTTCAGACAAAGGTTTCTCTATGCAGTGGTGGCTGGTCTCAAACTCAGAGAGATCTGCCTACCTCTTCCTCTCAAGTGTTGGGGTTAATGCCATCACACACACACACACACACACACACACACACACACACGGGCAGAAAGGGGTGTTGGATCCCCTGGACTGGAGTGTTACCTACCTGACATTGAAAGCCATCATGTAATCCTGGGCATCTAACCCCTAACTACACAGCAACCTCTCCAACCTCCACCACCTAATTTTCAACCCAGAAACCAATGCTCCCCTGGAGCTGGAAAAGTCTGCAGGGAGCGTGTGTGTTATCTGCCCCCACAGAATACCTCCAGGAAAGAGAATGGAGGCTTGGGGAGATGGGAGGGAGGGAAAAGTCACAATAGCTCCAAGGATGCAGAAGGAACCCATCAGGCCATGGGAAGTCCCATCTTTGTTGGCCAACCTTGGGAGTGAGCCTCTTAGTTTGGGGGAATAACTTAAGTCCTCAGCCTTGAAACTTAATACTGGTTGGATCTATCTGTCTGCTTGCCTGCTTGCCTGCCTATCATCCATCTATCTATCTATCTATCTATCTATCTATCTATACCTACCTACCTACCTACCTACCTACCTACCTACTCACCCTTCAGTCATTTCTTGAATACCTATTGTGCCTGCCTTAGGCTGGACTCTGGGGGGTGGAAGGGATACAAGGCTACTGGAGTACTAAAGGGAACAAGAGGAACTCTAAAGAGAGACAGCAATTCCCTAGAACTGAGATGAGCTCACCGGTTTTCCTCTCCCTCTAGCAATTTCCTATATGTGGCAATCTCGATGTCCAAGGCTAGCTTGACATTGAGCAGATCTTGGTACTCCTGCAGGTGGCGAGCCATCTCCTCTTTGAGACTTTGGCCCTCCTCTTCGAGGCGGGCGAGCGCCTCCTGGTAACTTGCCAGTTCCCGCGCGTGGCGCTCGTCTTGTTCACGCATTTGCCTCTCTAGGGACTCATTCTGCCGGATGGAACCGACTGATCGCTTGGCTCAGTGATTCGAAGGGGCTCTGAGCCCCACCCTCAGCCCCCTACCCCGCCTCCAAAATTTCAGATCCATTTCTCCCTTTACCCACCCCTCATCCCAGCCTCAAACCCCACCCCTCACCCCCCATCCCTTCCCCTTCCAGCAACATCTTGAGTGACCATTCGACCAGTGGTCCCTGCTCGCGCTCGCGCTCACCGTGCTGCGCAAAGACTCCAGGTCGCAGGTCAAGGCCTGCAGTTGGCGGCGATAGTCATTAGCCTCGTGCTTAGCCTGGCGGAGCAGCTCTGCATTGCGGGAAGCAGCATCTGTGAGGTCTGCAAACTAAATCGAAAGAGGATCTAAGTTGAAGGGAGGGCTGGAGCCTCCCATTGGCACAGTCACAAACCAGGTTGCTGCCTGGGGATAGGCACGGTCTCTGGAAAATCAGAAAAGTGGGGTCGACCTCAGGCCTCTGCCAGGAGCAGCAACTGTAACTGAAGGATTTATCGGGTCTTCAACTTGCTCAGGCTGTCACTGGCTTCAGCAGCTTACACTGGGCTGGGTGCCCTGGGCCAGCGGCATTACAAGCCTGTGCATTTTCTGTCTCAGGCCTCTTCACAATGCTGTTCTCCACATGTTCCCTCTTCTCTTGAGTCTCTAAACTGCCTGTTTACCATAAGCCCCTGTTTCCCACAGTCTGTGTAAAGTCTGATATCGCCTTGACCAAATAAATGTTTGTATCTGAGGAGTACCCGGCACACAATATATGTTCAGGAACACAGGACACAGACTGGCAGAGGCGGCAAAAAGGCAGGCTCTCAAATGAGATGAGTTAGAATTGGAAACTTTATCCCCTTTTCACTTAGGAGCTGTGTGATGTTGTGAAAGCTAGTTAACCTTTCACCTTGCTGGTTAAAGAGAGTAGTAGCAATAACGACGAGTCATTTGGGAGGTCAGAGTGCCTGTATGGTCCTGGGCAAGTCACCTCACTTCTCTGAGCACGGCTGGTCACCTAGATAGGTTATTTCCCAAGCTCCCTTCCCTATTCTCCAATGTGGTTCAGGAAGGGCTGCCTGGAAGAAGCAGGCTAGCCCCACAGCTACCTTGGACCGATACCACTCCTCTGTTTCTTGCATGTTACTGGTGGCCACTGCCTCGTATTGAGTTCGAATTTCTCTCAGGGCCGCTGTGAGGTCTGGCTTGGCCACATCCATCTCCACGTGGACCTGCTGTTGGGCCAGCTGCTCCCGGAGTTCTCGAACTTCCTAATAGGGTAAAAGAAGGGGTATTGAGTGTTATCTCAGGCCCAGGCTGCAGCTGGGCCTCTCCCAGCATCACACTTCTGCCTGCCCAGATATGGCATTAGCTCAGGGAAATGGGGCAGCTTTTACTGGAAAAAGTGCAAAGCCTAAGTTAATGGGCATGTGCCATTTAACCTTTAACCTTAGCACGTGGGAGGCTAGAGCAGGCAGACCTCTAGATTTTGAAGCCAGTCTGGTTTATATAGAATGTTCCAGGCAAGCCAAGGCTACACAGCGAGACCCTGTTAAAAAGTAAAAATAAAAACCCTAAGGTATGGAGTGAGAGTCTGAGGACATCTTCCTCCCAGGGCTGCATAGTCAGGAACCAGGCATGAATATGTCTAGGCTCTGCGGTCAGAGGACAGAGGTGTGTGTGTGTGTGGTGTGTGTGTGTTTGAGACAGGGACTCACATAGACCAGGCTGGTCTCAAATTTTCTGTGTTGCTGAAATTGACCTCGAACATTTTGAGCTTCCTACCTCTACCTCCCAAGTGCTGAGATGTGCATCCCCATAACATGTCCTCAGAGTTTTCATGGATGTCTCACATCTTAGAGACAGGCCGGGAAGAGAATGAAATCAGACAGGCTATATGACTTCTGGGTGGTTTTTGTTTGATGGTTTGTTTTGTTTTCTGTCTCTGAGATTCAACATCCTCCCTGTTGTGAAAGGAGACCATGAGAAGGGCTCAAAGAGCTGATGTAGGGGAGAAACCAAAGACCTGGTCTTGTGCTTCTCAAAATATGGTGGTGCGGGAGGGTCTGTGTGCACTTTCCAGGGGCAGTAGATTCTGGAAAAGATCTCCCTTAGTCTCTCTGCCTTCACTCTTTCGTTTCCTTTCTTTCTGACAGTTGGTTTCTCTGTTTCCCTCTCTGAGTATCTCTCTGTCTCTCTGTCTCTCTCTCTGTCTCTCTGTCTCTCTCTCTCGTTTGCAGTTTCTTGTTTGACCTCTGACCTTCTACCTGGCCTCACCTCCTCATGGATCTTCCTCAAGAACTGGATCTCCTCCTCCAGTGACTCAATCTTCCTCTCCAGGTCCAGACGGGCCATGGTAGCTTCATCTGCCTCCTGGAGGGGGGAGAGGGCCTTTTGACCCCAGAGCCCATCCCACTACAACCTCTAGTTTTCTTCCCCCTCCTTGTGAAGGGTCAAGTTCAGGGCCTGTGTCTGAGTGAGCAGCCATTAACCCACCTCCCCGACATGTCCCCACCCATCCCTCCCATCTCTCTGACCTGTCTGTAGGCAGTCAGGTTGTTCTCAGCCTCCAGCCTCAGGTTGGTTTCATCTTGGAGCCTGGGATAGGGGACACAGTATGGGCTTTAGGCTTTCCTAAGAACTCTTATTAGATCCCTGCCCCAAACTCTCTGGAAGTGACCATCATAAAACACTCTCACAGGACCCACAGAGTGGCAGGAGAAGTAGGAAGCCGAGGGCTCCTAAACAGAGGCCCTGGCTGAGGGAGTAAGCAGCGGAGAAGGGCTTCTGCCCTAACTCATTACTGAGGTGCCTTATCGGGCTTGGTGCACCTGCTCATGCTCACAGAGGCGCATCCACCACCAAGTGCACACTGCACAGAGGCCAGTGCCCTCCTGCACCAGAGGGACACATGAATGTCCACCACCAAGTGCACACTGCACAGACGCCAGTGCCCTCCTGCACCAGAGGGACACATGAATGTCCACCACTCAGCAAAGCACCACACCCTGGTGTTCCACCCCTGGCCACTATCTTTTAGGACAGGTTGTATCATGACCTCTCCTTCACAGCTATGACAATGAAAATGACTTTCAAAAGCTAGTGGCAGACAGTCGTTGGGGTTCTGCACCCAAGCCTGCCTACCCGCCCTTTCTTGCATTTCCTATATTTCAGAGCCCAGGACTTCCTTGTGGACACAGACCTTCACTCTGACCATTCACAGTGCCAAATGAATGGAAAAGCCGAGCACTTGCTGGCTGGTGCCCTTGCTACCCACAGCCTTCCCCACTGTGGAGGTGTCCGGAGTGCCCAGCTCCCTGACAGCAGACGTTTGGGAATCAGAACTCCGTGATCTGGTCTCTCCCTGGCTATTCCCATCGTATTAAGGAACAAAGATAGCTCTCCCTTTCCCAGGCATGGGAAAATGCATCAGCTGGGATGCCCAGCCCTTGCCAGAGTCAGTACCCTTCCTTATAGGCATCCCTCTCGGTTTAGTCTGACTGCTCTCTAGCCATTTTCCCTGACCCTCTCCTCACTTCTGCCTCAGAGTGCCGAGGTCCTGTGCCAGATTGTCCCTCTCCATCTCCAGCCGGGCACTGTTGGCAGTAAGCTGGTCCAGCCGCAGCCGCAGCTCCCGCAGCTCTGCCTGGTAGACGTCGGCCAGTTTGGTGGGCTCCTTGGCGCGAAGCTGGTTCAGCTCAGCTGCCAGAGCTTTGTTTTGCTGTTCTAGAAAGCGGACTTTCTCGATGTAGCTAGCAAAGCGGTCATTTAGTTCCATCATCTCAGCACGCTCACTGGCCCGAGTCTCCTTGAAGCCAGCATTGAGAGCCCCGGCCAGGGAGAAGTCTACCCTAGCAGGGAGCGGAGGAGGCATTCGAGCCACAGAGAAGCGTGGGATGGTACCCAGCTGGCGGCTGGGACCCAGGCCCCTGACCACCGTCTCAGAGGAGACATAGGAGCGACGTGCAGAGGTGATACGTCTTCGCTCCATCCTGCCCTGCTCCTGCAGGCTCCTGGGATGTCAAGGCTTTATAGAGGAATGGGCCTGAACTGGCTCTGCCCTGACTTCCTGGCAGCACCCCACTGAATAGCCTGAGGGGGTGGAGCTGGGCCCCAGCCCAGCTATGGAGAGAGCTCCTCTCATCCCACTGAGGTCTTTGTACCAGAGTCAAGGTTTCCCTGGGCACACCAGCGTGGCTTCACCAGTGATAAAGAAAACCCCCTTTCTGGTAAGACAGGTCAAGAGAGGGCTGGAGCGGCTGAGGAAACAGCTCAGCCCATAAATCGCTTGCCTGTCAAGCATAGAGACCCAAGTTCTAGTCACAGAATGAAAACAAAAGGCCAGATTTGATGATACATACTTGTAACTCCAGTGCTGGGGAGTGAAAATCAGGAGGATCCCTGGGTCTCACAGATTAATTGGTGAGTTCCAGGTTCAAGGGAGAAACGATGTCTCAAACAAACAAACAAACAAACAAACAAACAAAGGGCAACAAAGCCTGAGGAACAATACCTAATGCTGACATCTGGCCTCAGCACATATGTGTCCACACATGAACACTTATGCAGTGAACAAACATGTGTGTAGGTGCACGCGCACACACACACACACGCACACACACGCGCGCACACACACACACACGCACACACACACGCACACACACAGAGCACGAGCTGGATTGGGTGAGCTGCCTCCTGCTCTTAGAGCCTATAAGCCAGGGCTACCCTCGCTCTGCACTTCTCCATGGGCCTGTGAGATGCTAGGAACTTGAAGAATCTATCCCCTGCCTCCAGGATTATCTTATATTATAGTTTCCTGCTGTTTCCTATTCCCAAAGGATGTCCAGTCCTCTCCCAGGAACCCTGCCATCCTGTCTTCTCATTCCTGGAGTTCAGAAGTGAAGGGTTGGGGTTGGGACTCTCCCTGTGACTCGAGGGTCCACCTGGGCCTCTAGCTGTGTGTCTAGGGGGTACGACAGAAGGAATGCATGAGGATCCTAATAGAATAAGATAGCAGACCTCCTTCCTGAGCTCCTCTTTGCCATCTTGTCTAGCCTGCTGGGTCATTTCTTCCTGGTCCAGCTTTCTTTTGCTCCCCCTCCACTCCACCCCAGAGCCTGGCCCCTGACAGCTCCACAGAGTAGCTATGAATGAGTTGGCTGTACATGCTGGAATTTTTATTTTTGTAACACCCTGTCCCCCTGATCACCCCTCATTCTCCCAGGAGATTTATCTTTTTTCAAGTTCCCACACATCAGGCCTCTGGGGGATATGTAGGTCTGGGAAACCAGAATTCACCATCATCAGTGGTGGGGAGGAGGCTGTTGCCATAAGACTTCAAGCCTCTCTATCCCCTCCACTCCGGTCCCTCCCAGGCGCCTTAGCCCATCTGTGCCCTTGGGCTTCTGGAAAACAGACAGCTCAGCTCCCCCCTGTTTCCCTCTGTCCATGCTTGAGCTTCTGATCCCTACTCCAGGACACTTGCTGAATAGAGCCTTGTTCTCTGCCACCAGTGAGGGAGCCATACAGCAAGGGCAGTCCCAAGGGGGCTGGGCTGCTTTTATCCCAAGATGCCAGGATGTCAGCCCCTGGTGCTGTACAAGCTCCCAGCTCAATGGACTTCTCGGAAAGCACCAAAGGGGGCCTGGAGTACAGCGGAAAGCAGGCTGTGTGCCCACCACTGACCATTGTGTCTATGCCAAGGTGAGTCATTCCCTGGGCACATGGAGGAGGGGTGGCCAGTTCATCACTGCCAGGTCTCCCGCTTACATACAATGCCTGGCTGCTTTCCCCCTCCCACTGCTCAAGCCAGTTCAGACCCCTGAGCTCCTGTCCTAGCAGCATCCCTTACTCCATACCAGGGACATGGTATTCATTTGAGCATGCAATGGGCTGAGGTTCCCCCAGCGAGTCCCAGCAAGGAGAGGGAAGGAGCCCCTTAAGACCTAGCCATACATTCCCCCATCAAGGACAATGGCATAGTAAAGCAGATCTTGATAGAAATCCCCAGCAACCTTTAGGCAGGATCTCATCGTGTCCCGTGGAACTCACTATATAGATCAAGCTGGTCTGGAACTCACAGCAATCCAATTGCCCCTTTGTGATTAAAGGCTTTAGATACTCTGCTAAGCTGGGATGCTAAAGAACAGGAGACTTTGAAGGAAGAGCCTTACTAGAGACCAGCCTTTAACTCAGGACACATCTCAGAGGGTAGGAGAGGCCTACCTTTCTAGGTCTAAACAAAGTAGTTCTGGAAGGAAAACAAATAACAAGAGCAGGAGAGGTTTGACAGCAAAACTGGAGAACCCATCCTATTTATGTGAGTTTGTTTCAGTACCAGCCAAGGAGACCCCCAGCCTCTGCCCCTCGGCTCCTTCCCTGTACCCCGGATGCAGGATCAAGTTCCATTCTAACCCCACTGGGCTTTTGGATCCTTGCTATACTCTCTCAGGGGTCTTTGTGCATAGAGACAAAAGGAAAACATTCAGGGTTGCACTTGATGTGCAAACTTTCATTACTGGTGTTTTTATTATACATTCACTGTAGAGAAATCAGAAAATACACATAAGCAATGTAAATATTTAATTAGCCATAGTTTTGCCACATGCAGATAAACACTGCCAGATTTTTCTGCACATATAAGTGCATTTTTTTTCAAAACAGGCCCATACTGTTACCAATTATTTTGTAATTTGCTGTTCCTTCAACAATATGTTGTGAACATCTTTATGAATCAATAACCATTTGCCTACATCATCATTTTAACAGCTGCATCGTTTTCCACTTTATGCATTCATTTAACCAAGCCCTGTTGCTGGCTGGCGCTCTAGCCAAGTTCCCAGCCCACTCCTCACCATACTCATGCATATCTGCCCCAGATAGGCACGGTAGGAAAATAGGCAGGCCCTCTGCCCTCCCAGTTGTCACAGGGATTCCCATCCTCCTAGCCTGGCTCAGGCCTCACCCTGGGGGTTACTCCTTTTCAACTTTCCCAAGCAGAAGTCTCCAACAAAAAAGCCTCAGGCCAACCTCCAGCCGACTTTTAGACTCCACCACAGGGTGCTGCCGGCCATGGAGACAGATGCTTGGAACCCCACTACAGAGTCCACAGCCAAACTGAGCCCTGCTTCAAGTCAAAGCGGGGTTAAGATGGCTTCCTTGTGTACCTCTCCCTGTATTAAAATCTGACAGATGAGCTTTGCTTACAGGGCAAAGCCTCAATGCCTCCTGGGAAAATCCCACTTTTGCTCTCAGCTCACCTACACAGTGCCATTCGATCTGAGTGTCACCTGCTGCCTCTGCTTGTACACCTGCCCCTGCCCAGTGCAAACACAGCATGGCGGCAAGATCAAGCCTGGCTGACCCCTTCCCCTTGTGCTGCCTGGACGAAGGGAATGTGAGCCCTGCGGCCACTAGATGGCAGTGCTTAGCTGCCCAGGTCCGGTCATCGAAACAGTGGAAGGAAATAGGGTTTTCTAGAGGCTGGTGGTTTTCTAAAGTCCACATTTGTAACGCCCAGCTGGCCATTCTGTTTTGAGTTTTTCTTCACCACCCACCTCCGCTGTGACAGTGGCCTCTTGAGGAGAAAGCAACACTTTGGCTCCTCAGGGGCTGTGAAGTCTTGGATGATGCAGGAACCATCACTGAATCTCCTTCTCCAGATCTGTGAAATGAGGACTCACCTCCCAAGAACACTGTGAGGATAGAGTCAGTGAGAGACACTGTTGACAAACCATTTTGAAATGCCTCCCAATTTCTCCACTTACCGAATGCCAGTGTTTCTATGCAGGCTGGGCCAGGTGGGACAGGAACTTGAGTAAGGGCTGCCAAGTCCCACAGCGTCTATTGGGAGTATGTGAGAGCCTTCTAAGAGAGGTCACGTGGCATTGTGGATAGGACCAAGGAACAGCAGTGAGTAAAGAGAGTGGGAGTCAATGTCATTTACTCCTAGACTTCTAGCCGTTGGTGGCTTCAGGTCCTACAAGGGGACATAACTAGGTTTTTGTTGTTTGTTTTTGCCTCAAACTTGATATGTATGTAGCCAAGGATGACCTTGAATGTCTGATCCTCCTGCCTCCACCTCCTGAGTGCTGGGATGACATGTGTACACCAGCATGTTCAAACCCAGGACATCATGCATGTTAATTTGGCAAATACTTTGCTTACACCCACAGTCGTCCAGCCCAACATGTAAATCTTCTGAAACTGTGTGGTGACTGAAGTAGATGTTGCCCCCCAACTCTCTTACCCATCCTCCCCCACCCCCATGGCTCTGTTCTCATGTGCCTTCCTCCATCCTTAGACTTGAGGCTCATGACTCCTGCTGATACCTTTTGTGCCTGGCTCCCCTTGTACCTCTACCTGAATCCCCCTGGGGAGATGAGCTGTGTTTCCCCCTGCAGGGGGATGCTAGGATCTGTCTTCCCCCTCAGAACAGGATCTACACCTTCCAGATTAAGGTACCACGGGACAGGGCCAGCTTCTTACCAACTGAGACTTCTGCAGGTGGGGGCTTCGGTTGGAGGGGGCCTGCCTTGGACCAGGGGCCATTCATCTCCCACTGTAGCCTACATCCAGCCAGGTTCTGCTAATCAGAAATCAGTTCCTGTGGCTGCAGAATGACCCCAGCCTGGACCCCAGAGTCCCTTCTTCTTCCCTCTTGGGTCAGCCTCTTCCTGTTGTTGGAATCAGCATCTCATTCATTTTCACAGATTCTGGGGCCAGGCTGCTGAGGCAGGGTTAATAAGCTCAGGCCCTTTCTCCCTCGCCTCTCCCGGCCCCAGCCAGAGCCTCTTCAGCTTGTCCTTTAGCTCCCAGGCTCCAACCCTGAGATCTGCTTTTTAATTGCTTTCCCAGTCTGCTTTGCACCTCCCCCCCCCCCATTCTCCCTCCCCCTCCTGCCCGATTGGACCCCTCTGGAGTGAGAGGCAGGACTAGATGTGACCCTGGTGGGAGAAGAGGGCTGACAGTCACCCACTATTTGCAGACTGGCAGTTCTCCAAGAGGATAGGATGGGTCAATAGA